GGGGGGGGGGGCTGTCGGGGCAAAAACAGCGAAGTGCATGTTTTCCTTCACTTTTCTCCCCCCTTTTTTTCCGCGGGACATGTCTCGGTGCTGTCGGGATGCAGCGCAGACAATCGAAATTCGGGACGGTTACTCACCGTAAGTTCACCTGTCACACGGGCGCCTGCAAGTCCCGACCTCACCGCATCTGCATCCAGCCCTTCGCGGCCACGCCGCCTCCCCTCCCGTCGGACCTCACGCATTCTAGCTTCTCCAACTAGGTCACCCGAGGGAACCGCCCGTGACCGTGCAGCGACTCCATCACCGACCGACATCCACCCCATCGTGGCACCGCCGACCCGCCGACGACGCGATGGAGGTCGCTGCTTCCCGTCGGGTTTCACGCGCTCCTCCACTTCCGCCCGCTGATGCAATATTGCACTCAATGGTGGCTGCGGTGGATGACGGGAGGACATTGGGCACGATCTCGGGATCGTGCCCAATGCCTCGTGTGCCTCGTGCCCCTCCTATCTCCCGCGCTTCTTGGCGATGTGTGCTTCTTGTTTCTAATCGAGTCGGAATCGGCTTCATCAAGCCGATCCCTGGATATTAAATTCCAATTAAATTAAACTGCGACCGGGTGTTCATTAGGGAGCACCGACGGAATTTCACGAGATCGATACTGCGACGCCAGTGACAGCTGTGTGTCGCGTGGGTCGTGTGGCGGTCACGTGTCTGAGTTATCGGCTTCGTCCGACCCGACCATTAACGTCATTGATGCTCCTCCGCCGGAAATAAATAAAAGCCAATTTAATAAATCACGCGGGGGGGAGGGGAGGGGGGGGGGAGCCGTCCCCCGAGAAAACTTGCCCTTTTCCCGCCATGACTCACACCGCCGACCCACCCCGATTTCCATAAAAGCGAACTGTTTTTCATTCATCTCGTCGAGTGGAGACTCAATCCCGCGGATGGGGATAATTATCCCGCGAGCATTTATCATGCTCCCCGTTTTATGGCAGGGGAAAATGGGGCCGAAGGTGAATCATCTCCCCTCTCTCTCCATTTTCGATCTTGATTGCCAATTCTCCTTTGGGGATTGGGAGTCTCTCGATGCTTCAATCAATGGAATTCCTTTGTTTTTCTTGTTATTTCTAGTGTTATTTTGTAATTATAATTTTTATTTATTTTAATATCAAATATTTGCTATTATTTTATAATTATTTTGAACAATTATTTCATCTCGTTTTTAATTGTATATCACATAAATAATGTAAATTTGAATGATTTTTTTTTATTCCACTTAGAAAGAATCACGATTCACGGGTAATTATTCCTCTGAAATCCACAGAACCGGGATCAAATTATGGCTCCTCCCTTCGAGTCTGTGAGCCATTTCTTCCCGTTTCGCACTGGGAAACACGTGACCATGAGGAAGCGGGATTTCCCGCGTTTTTCTCGATCTCGTCCTACGCGGGAAAAATTGGCAAAAGTTCCATATGGGAAAAATTGGCAAATGAACTTATAGGGAAAATTTGCATGTCTTTTCCTGGAAAAACTGACCTTTGGTGTCTTCTTTCCGCGCCGGATGCAGGAGTTTGAGCCGGTTTTCTTCCAGTCGAAGCACTTGGTCCGGGGAATACGCGAGGACTTCCATCGGGGCCGGAAGCTGGTTGTCCTCGTCGTTGGAGTCGTCCGGCCTGTCGCCGCTCTCGTATCCGCTGCTCTCGTTCGGCCACTTCTCGCGGGGGGCGGGGAGGGGGAGGCGGCTTGGAGGTCTCTGTGGGCCGGGGGTGCCGGGCGGGACCCGCGGGCCGGCGGCGAACGCGCCCGCGGGTCGGGCCCCTCCCGGGTCGTCCGGCCGAGGGAGTAGAGCCCTCCCCGGGTCGTACGTCCGAGGGACCAC